TTTTAAACTGTAAGTTTATTTTATTTAGTTATAATGTAAATCCAATAAAAATTAAACCAAGATTTATAATAATTATCATTTTGATCTGTACAATGGTAATGTCTGACTGGGCCTCGTGACACTTTATGTTCAACAAATTGGGCCCAGAGGTCAAAAAGGTTAAGAACCCCTGCTGTATACCGTTAAATTTGTATTTTAATATGCAAGCTACAGATTATTTCAGTCTGCTAATGTTACACATTCACTCACTTGAAGGCAGTCCAGATGGGGGCTGACCCATGCCAGTAGGCCCAAGACTTAGACCCTGTCTCTGCATCCGGGTTCTTCTTTTCTCCTCCAGTTCTTTCTGGATCTTATAGATCTTCTCTGCTAACAAGTGATAATACTCAGCCTGACAAAGATGAGGAGAGAGAGAGAGAGAAATGCAGCAAGTCAATAAAGTTCACATGGAAATGTTTGAGATCATTTTAAAAAGAAAAGGAAATCAAATGGTAGCATTTAATAACTCTCCTAGATACTGCAGGGTTTCCTCTACATGTAACTGATTGTGGCCCACAGCCACGGCAAAATAAAAGCCGCCACACCTTCAGAATAAAGTTTTTTTTTGTTTTTATATATTAAAACAATGTAAAGCATATCATACATATTTATATCCTTTATTTACGCACTTATTATATTTTGGCAAGGCAAAATATCTATTTGACATGTATCTAATTACATTTTGACTACTGGTAGTGTAAATGACAACAGATTTATTTTAAGTTTAGAGACTCCAGTTCAAGATTTTTTTTAATGACATCAATATTCAAGTTATCTTAAATGTATCTTTAGATATAAGATAAGCTATATAAGATTTAACTAATGCAAACTGCACTTTCTCCTGTTATGTAATTTATATTTAAAAAAAGCTACAGTCTTATCTAATAATGTTTATCCTGTTGATCAACGTTCTTGTTCATAAGCAGTTCAGTGTGGATACAATGAACACATGCTTTTTAAACAAGTATTCAGTTTGAAAGGGTTCATGTTTTTGATCTGAGTTTGTTTTACAGAATGAAATGTCTGAATGAAGTCTAGGTACTGCTAAACAAAAGCTTCAGGAGGGTCCTCATGCTTTTCTGAAATGAAGAAGGGAGGAACGCACTCTGCTGCTGGCCGACTCATACATGTCTCCTTCAACTTTTCGTGCGTAGGCCACCAGGTTCTCCATTCGACGATCCTTAAGAGCTGCAGGATCTGGAGTAGGAAAGATGGCCTGGACACTGCAAGCGGGCAGGCAAATACAAAGAAAGTGAACGGGTTAGAGAAACAATGTGAAATAATACAAGCGTACACTGCAATCACAACTTAAGAACTGATTAAATATGTCTACAGTGTCAAAACCAACAGTCAGAGACACATTCTATAAAATGTTTTTCTTCTTTGATAACAGTCTACATTCTCTTTTAATGGCTTTTTTTGTCATTGTATTTTTTTCTAGGTTTTAGGTATGTTTATTTTAAAACTTTGATCCATCCATATTTAAAAGACCATGTGTTGCTATAGTCAAAGAATTCTGTCTCTACATCTTTAGAAGCAGTGATGCAAGCCCCTGTGGCTTAAAATAAACGAAAACAAAACCATTGTTTTAACCAATCGGATTTTGAGTTGGTGACAAAGTACACAGTATAGTGTTCTCTAAAGAAGTGTTACACGAAGACTTTAGCCTGAACCACTTTGATCCTCAGGACCAAATATAGATTTGGAAGGAAGAGTATGATTTGAACAACTGTTCTGGAGTCATTTCTCATTTCAGTTTTTTGCAGGACATTTTCCCCTCAGTTTTACAAATGACTGAAATGCATCGCAACGACAGAGAACTTTACCCCATGCAAGATACAACAGGTAAAAACTGGGATTTGACTTAAAACATATTTAGGCAGCAAGTTTTAGAGTAGTCACTGATTCTGTTCATAACGTTTATGGACAGAATTTCTAGGAGCAGCCAAGGTGTTGAGGGGATCCTTTTTGGTGACCTTAGGATCACATCTCTGTTTTTTGTGGATGATGTGGTCCTGTTGGCTTCATCAGATCCTGATCTCCAGCTCTCACTGGAGGGGTTCACAGCTGAGTGTGAAGCAGCCGGGATGAGGATCAGTGCCTCCAAATCTGAGACCATGGTCTTGAGCYAGAAAAGGGTAGGCTGCCTTCTCCAGGTCGGGGAGGAGGTCCTGTCTCAGGTGGAGGAGTTTAAGTATCTCAGGTCTTGTTCATGAATGTGGGATGAATGGAGCGGGAGATCGACAGGTGGATTGATGCTGCATCTGCAGTGATGTGGGCGTTGTACCGGTCTGTCGTGGTGAAGAGGCAGATGAGCCAGAAGGCATAGCTCTCAGTTTACCAGTCGGTCTACATTCCTACCCTCATCTATGGTCACAAACTTTGGGTAGTGACTGAAAGAACGAGATCGTGGATACAAGCAGCTGAAATGAGTTTCCTCTGCAGGGTGTCTGGGCTCTCCCTTAGAGATAGGCTGAGAAGCTCAGTCATCCAGGAGGGACTCAGAGTAGAGCCGCTGCAACTCCATGTCGAGAGGAGCCAGATGAGGTGGTTCATCTGGTTAGGATGCCTCCTGGACTCCTCCCTGGTGAGGTGTTCTGAACACGTCCCACTGGGAGGAGACCCAGAGGAAGACCCAGGACACGCTGGAGTCTGGGATTCTCTGCTTAGGCTGCTGCCACAGAGACCCGATCCCCGATAAGCAGAAGAAAACGGACGGTTTTAGAATAGATCATGAAACTCAACCTGACAATATTCTGGACACAACTGTATTATTTTGTCCTGAATGATGTGTTATCTCAGGGATGGGCAGTCCTGGTCCTCAAAGGACCCTGCACATTTTACTCATTGCCTTGCTTCAACAACACCTGATTCAGTGACTGACTTCCCTTCTCAAGTTCTGCAAAGGCCCGTTAATCACCAATTCATTAAAATCAGATGTGTTGGAGCAAAGAAACTTTTAAACTATGCAGCAGTTGACTTACCGACCAGGATTGCCCATCCCTGTTTATTCTTCGGTTCCAGAAACTTTATGTCATTACTCAGAGCCACTGTGTGCCAGTGCCTGTGTGTATGGCCCTGAGTCTGATCAGAACCTTAAAAAGGGCCCTCTACAGCCCTAAATCTGCTTACACTGAAGACCCCAAAGACTAAAGTCTTACATGTGCTTCATAAAACCCAAACAAGGGTCTCACCCCTGGGGCCGGTACTTTTTACATCAGACTTTAAAATGTCAACAACTCTTGTTTATACTGCAGAGGGATACATTAAATGTAAATAATGTAAATGTACTTTATTTGTCATCAGTGCATGTTCCCATGAAATAATCAAATTTGTGCTCTGCATTTGAGAAACACCCAAGTGGAGCAACGGGCAGCTCTGTAAGTACCTGGGGAACAGTTGGGCATTCGGTGTTTTGCTCAAGGACACCATGACATGTGGGCACGAACCTGTGTATTTCTGGTCCCAAGTCGGGACCACTGCCACTGCACCACAGCTGCCCTCCACATTTGGCATCTCCTTTACCAGCTGACTGACTTCATAAAAATATACAGTCTTCCTGTTTAAGTAAACGACTAATTGATCACAAAGTGTAAAATATAAGACTATCTAAAAATTCAATCAGCAAAAATGTCCTTCACCTGTGTTAACTGTTGAAATAAATGGTGTTTTTATGTTTTGTTCAAAACTTTACGTAGAATAGACCAAGGCAATGGATGTCAATGGCGGTATTTCACTGGGGGTTAAACAACAAAGCAGTTTTAAGTGGCCTAAAGAGGGCATTAAATATCTAGGTATTAATATTCCTCTGTCATTAAATGATTTGTTTCACACCAACTAAAGTAAAACTCTGAATATATTTAAGAAGGACTTAGAGCGGTGGTCAGTGTTGCCCTTCTCCCCTCTCAGTCGTATTGAAACCATTCACATGAATCTTTTACCCAGATTATTGTATTTATTCCAAATGTTACCAGTTGGAATACCAAAATCCATGTTCGTTGATCTGGATAAAATGAAATCAAAATTTGTATGGCAGAGCAAGCGCCCTCGCATAAAATATAAAACACTACAGAGAAGCAAGACAGAAGGGTTGCTCAATCTTCCTGTTCTAATATACTATTTGTGGGCTGCACAGTTAAAACCTTTAATTGCATGGATCCAAGAGGATTCTAACACAAGATGGCTGAGCGTTGAGCAAGTGAGATGTTCTGAACCGCTAAAGGTACTGCCATTTTTAGATATTCCAGTAAAGGAACTGTCATTGTGGACTAGAAATACACTTAACATTTGGGGTAAAATACGAGTCGCGTTTAAGTTGCCAAGAGGCTTATCAATATTAACTTGTATTGGACATATTAAATCCTTCATTCCCAATTTCTTAGACAAAAATTTTTCAAAATGGGCTGATCAGGGCCTTATGTTCCTACTTCAGTTAATCAACAGGAACAACCTCATGTCATTCGAAGACTTACGTGGCCATTTTCATCTTCAAAAAATGATTTCTTTCAGATATTTACAATTGCGCTCTTTTTTGACCACACACACAGGAACTGGGAAAGAATACTAAAACCCTTTGCCAACAGAGAATTCACTGATTCAATTCCAAAAAGGTGAAGGTGATAAGAAATTAATAACTAAGTTATATAAGATTTTTCTGTCTATGAATTCAAATGCACCCACTCAGACAAAACAAAGATGGGAGGAGGAGACGGGCAAAATTATTTCTGATGCAACATGGGAAAGAGTCTGGATTGAGGCACACCGAGTTACAAACTCAAATACATGGTGGGAATATAAGTGGAAAATTATTAGTAGATAATTCAGAACCACAGACATAGTTGCTAAAATAGATCCTAAAGTACCAAGTTTGTGTTGGAGAAACTGCGGCTCAGCAGTGCCCAATTGTACACATATTTTTTGGTCATGCCCAAAACTACAAAACTTTTGGGAAGATGTGTATAAATCAGATATTTCAGGAGGTTATACCAAAGAATGTAACAGTTGCATTACTTGGTGTTATTCCAGCTAGCCTGCAAGGACGATCCAAATCTCATCTTTTAAATGTTCTTTTTACTGCAGCCTTGAAATGTATTACAATTAAGTGGATGCAATTAGATCCACCTTCTTACGACTCCTGGGTTCAAAAAGTAAGGGAATTGTACCAAATGGAAAAAATAACATACTCGCTAAGACTTCAAAAAGCTACCTTTAGACTACGCTGGGGTCCAGTAGAAGCCATATTCACGTAAGTAAGCCCAGCAAACCAGGCTCTCGGCCTAGCCCCATTTCATAGTGGATCCTTATTTTTAGGAATGTGTGAAAATGCTGAGACCATAAACGTGATGCTGAAATTGGAAGATTTCACGCTGAGATGTTCAGTCTATGAAAAAACTTCACAGTGTCAACATTTGTTAATCATTGCTGATGTACAGCTGTGTAATTGCTCTGTAAAAAAAAAAGAAAAATCAATAAAAGTTTAAGTTCTTAAAAAAAAAACCTTTATGTGGAACAAGTTGTTCTGCAATAAACATCGAAGTCCATAAAAATGTAGTCAATCATTTTCTCCTGTTACTAATGAGGAGAAATTAAACAAAATTTTGTTCAATTTTGCATAGTTAAGTGTACAATTTTGGATGACAGTTATTGAATTATTAAAAATAAAATTGAAAGAAGTAGGCAGTGTGGTGTTCTTTCGATACGTACAGCTTGTGCACCAAGTGGTTTCGAAGGTCCTGCGTGATGTCCTCATGCCAGAGTTTCTTTTTGCCTGTGGCAGAAGGCGGGGCTGCTGTTGGCATGGATCCAACTCCACCAGCATCATTTAGCAGACTGTAAAAGATACGGGAGGGGCATTAAAAATTTAAGTCTTTTCAAAATTGTTTCAAATACATTTAAAAGCCTCAAAAATTTGGGTTTTTATTTTTTTTTTGAAAATTGGGGGGGGGGGTGTGGTGTTGGTGCAGCTTCTTACCTTTGGTTGCTGACATTGAGATGCATCATAGTGTCCTGCAGTAAACTGGCTTGTTGGTTCTGATGGGTAGCACCCACACCTCCATTGACTCCCATAGGATTCACACCTGCACAAGGTAAAACAGAATGTAGCTTTATATTCTTTCTGCTCCACAGGAAACACAAGTACAAGGAAATGGGGATGCAGCAATACCAGTCTGATACAGTACAGTGTGCATATACTCAGGTGTTCCAATACCACAGTACTAATACCACTTTTTGGCAGAATGACGTTCACCTCTTAGTTGTAGAGGAGATGCAACGTCAGCTGTGTAAAGGTGATTTTAATGAGTGTGAGTGCAGCTACAATGGCAGCTTTTTGAAAGTGAGGAACCTCAAGAATATAAGGTTGGGAACAGGGTATAGTCCAATACTCCATTTATTCCAGGGATTATTTGATGGTGTACTTGAATACTAAAACTGTAGAGGCAAGTAAATAAACACATGGGGCGTCTGTGGTGGCAGGGTTCCTACAGCTTAAAACAAGTTAAATTTAAGGCTTTTTAAGACCTACTTAATGCCACTTGAAACTTAAGATCAACATCACAAAAAACAATAAGAAAAAAAGTATAAGATGAGATGAGCTGCATCAGGACAAAACCAGAGGAAAAAAAAACAAAAACGTAGCAACAATTTTACCCAAATGTTTACTTTATTAAAGCAAAATTTTGTTGACTTTAACAAAATAATTAACAGTAAATTATTTTTAAAAACTAAATAAACGTTACCAATTATTTTAAAATTTGAGATGAATTACACTAATCCTGTATAGCTACAATGTGTTTTTTAAGACCTCTGAAAGACTGATTTAAGACATTTTAAGGCTAATTAAGGCCTTATTTTTGGATTGATGAATTCAATGCCTTTTAATGCTTTTTAAGGATCTGCAGGAACACTGGGCGGAGTGGTTAGGGGAGTCATCCTGGAACTGGAAGGTCGCCGGTTCCATCCCCCATCCAGCCGTCTCAGTCGTTGTGTCCTTGGGCAAGACACTTCACCCACCTTGCCTACTGATGGTGGTCAGAGGGTCCGGTGGCACTGGTGCATGGCAGCCTCACCTCTGTCAGTGTGCCCCAGGGCAGCTGTGGCTACAATGTAGCTTATCACCATCAGTGTGTGAATGGGTGAATGTCTGAAGAGTAAAGCGCTTTGGGGTCCAAGTGGACTTGATAAGATGGTATATTCTAGTATAACCTACCGATTGGGTTCAGAGGCCTCATGCCAGCCTGTCCCTGGTTGGGCATGTTGGGCTGGGTCGTCTGGGACTGGATCTGATTCCCCTGGTATGTGAGTCCCAAGGCAGCATAGGCTCTTTCTATTGAACTGGGGTCAATCTGGCTCGGGGGATTGAGGCTTGGAGCACTCTGTTGGCTGCCAGGGACTGTCCCGAGAGAACTTCCAAGTCCTGTACCAGCTGTACCAAGCAAAGCTGTGACACCAAGAAACAGACAGTTAGCGTATTGGTTTGAAGCAACCTAAAAATCATGATTTTTTTTCTTCTAAGCAAGTCACAAACAATTGTGCAAAGGTCAATTAAATATAGTGGCTGTTTTTTTTTTCAAGTTCAGCACAAAGTCAAACTGGACTATTTTGGTTTTAGAATAAAAAAAACTATCAATAATAAATAATAACGCATTATAATTATAGTGCCCTTTTCATCTTGCAATCTCTAAGGGTTAAAAAGCTCTACAAACACGGCAAAAATTGAAAAAAAGATTAAAGAGATTAAAATCCAAGAAAGTGAAACAAAAGTTTTGGTAAAAAGAAGCATCTTAAGAGCTTTTTTAAATCAGTCAGTGAATTGTGGTGCCCATAGTGTCACGGGGCATTCCAGAGATGTTGAGCAGCAGCACAGAAGACCCTAACCCCCATGGTCCTCAGTTTGGTTTTGGGTTTATAGGGAAGGTTTAAGTGGGCGGAGCTTAAAAGGCAAGTTGTTGTTTTGTAGAGTAAGGAGTTCTTTGAGGTAGGTGGGGACATGTCTATAGTTGCATTGGTGTGTGAGGATGGAAACGTGTTCAATCCTGGTGGGGACGGGAAGCCAATGGAGAGAGTGGAGAATAGGGGTAATGTGCTCCTCAGGATCTTAGATGTAGAGTTTTGGATGTACTGGAGCCTCTACAGGCTCCTGCTGGGTATCCTGATGAGAAGTGTTGCAGTAGTCCAGTCTGGAGGAGACAAAAGCAGCGACCAGCTTTGAGAAAGAGAGAAAATGGAGCAGATTTTGGAAATGTTCCAAAGGTGATAGACAGTGGTCTTGCTGAGTTGGTTGATATGAGATTCAAAAGTGAACTGGGGGTCCATTTACACTGAGGTTTTTGATTGTTAACTAAAGATGAATATTGGAAGCAGAAAAGGGGATTCTGGTCATGGATGATGATTGGATCAAATAATGCTCACTAGAAAGGCTTGAGCTTTGGAACAGAGTTGGAGAAAGTTGTGCTCCATCCAAACCTTTATCTCCTCCAGAAAAGTGGTGAGTTTTGACGAAGATGCTGGACGGTCTCTTCAGTAAATATGAATAATATAAAGCATTAAGTAATAACATGAGCTGAAAACCTGTAAATGTAATCCATTTAAAATAAACAATCATTAAAGGAAGAAATCTGTCAGTTTTGTTAAAATAAAACAATGATGATGACGTGGAAGAAGTGCACTACAGATAGCTTTTAGCCGGCCAACCAGAGTGCTATGTAGGAGCGAAGAGTGACAACAATTTTCCCAAAAGTGCTTCACAGCGGTAGGGATGAGCAGAACCAGGGTGTCCAGGCAGGACTCAATGTGATTTTCCAGTAGCAACAATAACGGTGAGAATGTAGAACCAAGGAGTCACTCAGTAAAGTTGTCTTGACACCAACAGGTAGGCTACAGGTTATCAGATTTGTTACGTTTGATGGCAGTCATCTTGAAAACAAGCTATTAACAGTCACTTGTGCTATAAAACTGTTTAAAACAGAACAACTACAAAGCAAGGTTTGGAGGTACTGTTTGGTCAGATACAGACACTCACACTGCGGGTTCCTCTTGTCTCCTGCATTCTTCAGTGGGAGGCAAACTGGACAGTCATGTCTCGTGCAGTTTTTCCAGTGAGAGATGATCTGCCTTGATGACGCACAGTGAGCCACTGTTAATGGGAAAGAGAAAAAAAGGATGTTTATATATAATTAGAATAAAAGTTTGGAAGGGATGAGAAAAATATTGGAAATAAAAGATCCCAACCTGGAAATTTAAACAAAGAGTTACTAAAATTCTATCATTTTTATTTCAAAAATTAAATTATATGCTGTTAGTTTTTTCGCTTTTTTGTTTGTTTGTTTTGTAACAAAATGTAAACCAGAATGAAACGCTGAATCTCACAGACTTCACTTATTTGGGTGAGTTTCTGAGGTGTTTTGGCCACTGCTGCTCCCTGCACCTGCAGTTAGCTGGTAGCAGGCAGGCAGGGTGAGCTCCCTGAAGTAAACAATGAGCTTAGATCCTATTCAATGAGCAAGTGTGAACAAACTGTTGCTGTTTGTAGGGTTTATGTTTCTTTATGACACATTTAATGTGAAATTCAATTCTAAAACTTTATTTTACAATAAAGTATAACTTTATCAATGTGAGATTCTAGAAGTTACATGGGTGTGAGGGCCATTTAGGGCAACGCAACACCTTGGTGGAGGGCTCCAGCACTTTAAGGAGTTTAGAAGGTTAAAAAGGATAATTCTGATATACACACTCTGATAAAATCCTAAGTTTTCTGTAGTTTAGTATTAAAATGCTGATATATATTCAACACAACATCTAGCACGTTCACTCATTACTACACACTTTTGTTACAGCTTTTTGATTTTTTCTGTCTAAACTAACATGATCTGTGATTTTGTATTTACTCTGTATTTTGGTTGTGTTTTTAGTATTTCTGATGAGTCTGTCCTGTGCTGGGCCACACCCACCTGCACCTCCTCTCAGTTTCTCTGCACAGATGTTGGCTATTTTGGGTTAATTAGTTGGGCTTTATATTCTCTGGAGTTGTGTTTGTTCAGATCTGTACACTGCATGTGTCAGTTGTTGCTCACTGTTTGATCCCTACAAGTTCTGCTCTATTTTTGCTACCTCAACATTTTATTTTGTTTGACCATTAAATTAATATATTACACAGCCATTACTTTTGTGCAGTTTGTTATCGTATTATTAAGTATATTATGCAGATGCAGTTAACCACCTGTTTCTGACTTATCACTAAACAAAAAATGGATCAAAGAGAAAACAGCTTGTCTTTAAAGTACTACATGAATATTCTGGAGTTTTTCAGAAATTCTTTATAAAAACAATAAAAGCAACATTACTGTTGAAGAAATTTTGTAACTGATTAATTGAATATTAGATTCAGTTTTGTATTTTATACTTCCTGATCATTTCAGTCTGTAAGGTTGAAGCTGACAAAGAGTTGGTGTGTTATCATGTGTTCTTTCTCTTAGCCTAAACAAAACTGAGTGACGTTCTGACGTCTGACGTAAAAGGTAACACCTCTGGGGTGTAACCAGGAAGAGATGAACATTATAAGCTCAATTCATTATTATAGTAGAAAGAAGTTGTCAGTGTTTTGCAGAGTGTCTGCTCAGAGCAGAGCTCCCGTGTTTGTTTTGATTTGACCCAAGGTTGTAGCTGAGGCCTGTGCTGCTGAGAGCTGAATGAACCTGATTAGAGTCAGGGGACTGAATAAAGTTTTTAACAAGAAATCCAGCTGAATCCTGTTTATTCGGACATACCATATTAAAACACGTATTTCTTACACTGTGTTTAATTTAGACTTAAGATTTTCATAATTTTATCTTCACATTTGTCTGAGAATGATCTTTAATGTAAAATCTGATTCAGTGATTGGTCCATGCCTGGGGTTTTCCTATTATGTCATCCAGGATCAGCTGCATGTTATAAACCAGTTATTAGACTTTAGAACTTAAAATGTATCCCTACACTTCACTTAAAGTCAGAATCTGATAATGTTTGATGACTAAATTTAAAATCCAACTTTGAGACAAATTTTTTCACACAAATATTTTCTTATCAGCATTCTCAAGAGTATTTGAGACTTTTGACAGGTCCAGATCTTTGTTATAAAATTTTGAAATGCAGGTGGGACATTCATAACTTCTCTACTGAACCCCACTTAAAAAAATAAATAATTAGCGCATTTTATGTTGTTGTTTTTGTTTTTAGGCAAAGGGGCAGTTCATCCGAACCCCCCACCCGGCTACATATATGCTTAAGATGAAGGGTTCTCGTCCACTCACCTTGGCAGGACTTGCCTGCCTGGCAGTGAGTCATGTGGTTGAGGACATTCTTCATGGTTCGACAGTGGGGCAGGTTGCACTGCCTTACTTCTCCATTGGCCTGCTCCCGCCGCTGGCACTTGTGTGCGTGAAGTAAGAGCACCAGTTGCTGCTGAATTAGCTTGCGCTTCTCTGGGTCGGCCGTCGGTGGAGCTCCAGTTGCAGCAGATGCAGCAGAGCCTTGAGGGCTGTATCCCACCAGACCAGCCGGAGCACTGGGCACCATTCCCGGAGCTGCGCCCACAGGTGCACCTGCAGGACCGCCCACACCTGTCTGTGACTGCTGAGTACCCTGGTGGAAGAACAGAGTTCAGGGCAGTTTTAAAGAGCTGGAAATTTTATACAGAGTTCTAAAACAATACAATAACCTGACAACTCAGAACTAAACCAAAGTAAACACAAACATGTTTTGAAGTGACAGACTGGACGCCTCACCATTGCACCCATTCCCTGCATTGGCTGGTTCTTCTTGTCCACGTTGAACTGAGCCAGGCTGTTGGCCATGGGACCTTTGTTCTGGAGTTGAGGACCCAGACCGGCAACTCCCAGGCCTTGATTCCCCTGACCTCCATATGAACCTCCGAAAGAGCCCCCTGGGTTTCCCATCATTCCGGGCTGCAAGAAGAAAAAAACATTTCAAAAAGAAAAAATGATAATGAAAAGAGGAAATACACAAAAGAAAAGTAAGACTGCTTAGAAGATTACAGGAAGGTAGAATTTTGACAAAGACTGCCATAAACCCCATACTTATTTTCTAACCTACCCCCCTGAATGCATCATAGCAAAACAGTTCAACATTACTATTTACCTGCACTGAAAAACGATTTAATTTATGTTGGATCAATTACATTTAAATTTGAGGATACTGATTGATGGGGCATGAGATCTATTTTTCCCTATAACATTAACCTCAGTAATCTTGTGCATGATGAAGCAGAGGTGCATTTTTATGTCACTCTGGGTGGCTCTGTTGCACCTGGCATAAAGCCCTGCCCTGCTCTGCTCTGATTGGATAAAAGGGCTCTGTGGTTCAGGAGGAAGTTTGCAGGATAACTTTGCACAAGTAACACCTTTCCTCTGTCAATCAATCCAAGAGCCAATCCATGGGCAGCATTCTGCTGACGTCAAAACTGTAAGAGCGCAGTACTCAGTTCTACCCGCTTAGAACCCCCTCAGAGGTGGTTCTAAAAGTTTGCGTTTGGAACTCAATGGAGACAGATTTGGCCAAAGCTGAACTGCATTCAGGCGCATGACTTGAGAAGGGGCTCCAGTTGAACCTGTGTTCATTGGGGCAAATAAAAACAAAAACAAAACAAAAAAAGGAATGTGCGATATGGCAAAATTCATATCCCAATATACATTATGATGGGTGGTAGTAATGATATATATCACGATATAAAACTTATAATAGAAAATAAATAAATCACA